CTGCATACAAAAAATACATCTCAACTTCAAAGACAGATATTACCTCAGAATAAAGGGTTGGGAAAAGATTTTTCAATCGAATGGACCTAAGGAACAAGATGGAGTAGCTATCCTAATATCTAACAAAATAGATTTCAAATTAAAATTTATCAAAAAAGATGAAGGAGGACATTTCATATTCATCATAGGAAAAATCCATCAATATAAAGTCTCAATTTTGAACTTCTATGCCCCCAAAACAAGAGCACCTCACTTGTAAAAGAAACATTACTAAAGCTTAAATCATACAAGAATTTAACAGATATCTATAGAACATTCTACCCACAGAAGAATATACCTTCTTCTCAGCACCTCAAGTGTTATGACAGACTTTATTGACTCCCCATGGGAGGCCTCACCCTCTGGGATGACTGGTTAGGAGGTGGGGTAGGGGGATGGTGGGGAGGTGGGAGGAGGGGAGGGAGAAGGAATTGGGATTGGTATGTAAAATAAAAGATATTGTTTTTTTAAAAAAAGAATAAAAAAGTAAAAAAAATATTGAGTGCTTTAGACTTTGGATCTAGTAAATTTTGGTTTGTGTTCTTATTTATTTATAAGGTTTTATTTTAATAATGTTTCTGGGTGGGAAAGTGGGTGGATCTGGATGGAGATTGAGGGAGTCAACCATGCTCAGAATATATTATATGAAAAAATAATATTTTCAATTAAATTTTTTTTAAAAAAAGGAAGTAAAGAAAAGAAGCCACTCAATTTGTATAAACCAGCTCAGAGTGTTTTGGTGACCTGAGGGCTGCATGTCATCCAGAATTGGTATTCATACAGCACAACATAAAGTCATAAGCTCCCTGAGAACATTATGAGATGTGTGTGTGTGTGTGTGTGTGATTGTTTTAGTAACTATATTGTGACTCTGAGCACGAAGTTTGTAGATGACAACATGTTCCAGTATCGTGTAAAGTGAACATATGTGTACTCTTGCTATTGACACACATGCATGGCTTTAATTTGATGGTAGAATGAGGCTTCAGCTGTTTCATCTTGCAACTGCAAATGGTCAAATTGACACTATAAAATTTGCACGTGCTCCTAGTGACGTAATAAATGAAATGCAGAAATTATCAATGATGTTTTATTCTACTGTTGCAGACAATGGGTGTTTAATGCTCTTTGGAAAACCAGCAAGCCTTCTTCTTCATCATTAAGAGCACACACATCTCAGTGGTGCCTCACACACCATCACCCAGCGACCACTCTTTCACTCAGCTGTCACTTTGCACTGCATCTGCCCCTGAGATGTTGCCATATCAAATCTTGCTTTCTATTTTCTTGTCAATTTTCATAATAAAAGTAGATATAGTTCCTTATCTATTATTATATATAATCACAGCATGACTTCTATAAAATCATATAAGAAAACAGAACTCAAAACAGAGAGAAGCTGGCGATGATGGCATATACCTTTAATCCCAATACTGAGGAACAGAGACATGAGGATCTCTTATTTCAAGCCTACCATGGTCTACACAGCAAATTCCAGGACAGCCGGGACTACACAAATATCCTGTCTCAACAACGACAAAAAATAAGAAGGAAACTTGAGAGGAACCCATAAAATTAAGAGAAGACAGTGCAATCACCACACTAGACTCATGTTTAATAATAGGTCCTTGCAGAGGTCATCAAGAAAATGTATGCACAAGGAAGATTTCAGTGGGGGAAAGAAGGGGAATAGGACAGGAAAATTGTGGGTAAAAATAACCAAAGTACATCGATTACATGTATGAAGTTGTCAAAGAAGAAAAGGTGGTTTTAAAAGGAAATTTAGTGCAAAAACATTAAATCATCATCAGGACAGAATTTCAAAAGGGACAAGGGATAAAATCATCTCTAATGCTAGGAATTCCTAAAAAGTGTTCATGATAACTATGGTGACATTATTTACATTTCATAAGTAAGATGGTCAAACTAAGGACATCACCAAAACATTATCAAGCTACTTCCTGTGTCATCAAAAATATTTGTGCCAGAGCTTGAGAATGAAAACTGACTTACAGAGGGAAGCTTTTAGTCGATTTGACTGCTCACTTCATCTTTAAGGGAGAGCCAGCCTGTCAACACTGTATTTCAAACCGTAAGTGCTCCAGGTGGAGGTGGAATTATGGAAAGCTCAAAGTAAGGCAAAGAACCGTCTGCATTTCAACACGGCAAAATGCAGTTTTGTGACAGTGATGTAGCCTTGCTATTACATTTGGCAAGAGAATTGAAAACAGATCTCAAGATTTCCAGAAATAATGGCACTATTTTGATATATTCCCAAGTTCATTTTTCTCAGCACGTTTGTTATCTGCTGATTTTCAAATGGAATGCCTAGAACTGCAATCTTCTATTCAACCTAAACAATATTTTTTCTTCATGTCTCTTCACATTCTTTCCAGGGCATTTATAGGTCTTCCTCAGAGACCAGCGCTCACACTTCACAACCACACGTTGTATTCACGCTGGCACTTTCCCCCAGCATCTACATGTGTGAGCAACTACTTTTAAGAACAGGATTGGAGAGATGCCTGTACGTCTTAACAGAACACACTTCTCTTCCAGAGGACTCAAGTTCAATTCTGAGCACCCATGTTGAATGTCTCATAACTACTTGCAACCTCAGCTCTTCTGGCCTCCAAAGGCCCCTGTACTCAAGTGTACATGCCCAAATCCAAGCACAGACACAAACTCAGACACATACACATAATCAAGTGGTAAAAATCTTTTAGATAAATGTTTCTAGATATAACAAGGGACCTACACCCGTGAAATCTCAGAAATATTACTGCTTAAACAAGACCTGAACAATGACTACACCAGTTGACCTTCTACAGTATTTGGGGAAAAACCAAGGGCCCCATCCCAAGATGAAGAGCAACAGGCAATTATAAAGTGCTGAGAGAGGAGAGGGAGAAATAGTCTTCCCCAAAGATGAGTCCCCTTAATAGTTTTCTACTCCCAAGTGGTCAAACCTAAGAATTATGCATTCAAGCAATAATAAACCAACTCTGTAGGTTGGATTTATATTTTTATCCCCTTGTTTGTGTGAGAGAAAGAAAGAGAGAGAGAGAGAGAGAGAGAGAGAGAATGATAATTAAAGAATAAGAGGCCACAATCTGAAGGGGATGGAGCAACCTGAGAGGATTTAGAGGGATAATGGAGGGAATGTTATAATTCAATTTTAATTTTCTTTTAATTTAAAATGTTAAACACACTAGTCATAAAATTAGAATTAAAATATCTCAGTCCCACCTTAGAAATTCACTGAGTTCAGAGCTATGCCCATCAGGCTGGGGAGTAAAGCATCTCTTGCTCAAAAGCAATGTCGAATATCCCACAAAATTCACATTGTCCTCCTTTGCTTTTATGACAAAAGCATACCAAAATAAATGATACTATTTATATGTGTACAATTTCTTTATTAGATATTACAAACATGGACCCTGCTCCATAGTTTTGAAAGATTCTGTATAAATGGGCACAGTACAATTAGGATTATTTTATTCTCTAGAATTTTGTTGCTTGCCTGTATGTGCAGATATTGTGTCACTTTTATATGGTCCCTTTCCAAGGGGAAGAGTCTTCTTTCATTACAGCTTGCATTAGTAATGCGTAGTTCAAAACAATTATCCCTTCACTATGGCCCAGAAAACCCAAAAGGCTACATATCCATAGACCAGATCATTAATTTTGAGCCAATTAATATCAGGACTGCAGTTCACAACTAGGACAAGAAAACCTCTCTTGGTCATAAAGTAGGAAAGAAAGAAATTCAAAAATAAAACATAATGCTGTGGTGGTAAAGCAGGACCTGATATGCTCTGGGTTATCTGACATGCTCTGGATGTGCATAGACACACACGCACATACACACATGCATGCACAGGTACACACATGCATGCACGCACACACGCACACACACCTGTTCCTAGGGCAAGGCTAGTCTGTCTCACCTCCCAGAGTTGTTATTACACAGCTTTAGCCACCTGTTCTCTTAGCTCAGATCCTCAGCTCACTCCAGTCAATATCAGCCTTTTCAAGGGCTGCATCTCTGTCGGTCTCACTTCTGGATCTAGCCCACTAAATAATCACTCAAGATCTTACCAAGGCCCCTTGGAGCTACAGAAAATCCTAGGCACTGTTGCAGAAAACACCACTGCAGTCCTCAGCAGGGAAGCCAGGGCTCATTTAATTTTCCTAACCTTTAAATTCAATCTGGAAGCTCGTGCTTTGAGATAAATGCCAATAAACAATAAACAGGTAACAGATACACGTCAATGTGATTCATTATTATACTTAACTATGCATGGCAGCAAGATGTGATCAGTGCCCACAGGGTAAATACTTGCTTTTGAGATTTCTCGGTGACATCCTAGCAGTTTAGGAAAGTCAGAGTGAGCAAAGATTAATTCATCAGACTGTTCCAACAGATGTTCCTCAGTATGATCAGAACTCCCAGAGGTTAATAAGAAGATGTACTAAAACTCTTCCTTGCCAAGTATGGCTCTGCATAACTCTCACTAAACACTGTATAACTTTATCTGTGTATTTGTAGTTCTATAACTGTTTCATGGTAAACTGGTTATCTGTATTTTTTAAAATGGAAAGAAAGAAACCAAAGAAACGAAAATCGATCTTATCAGAATGCAAAAGGATGTAAGAGGTAAGAAAGGCCACACTTTTGTCTCAGTGTAGGCACAGTGGACTTCCTGGGGTCTCAGGCCCTCCTCAACCACAACATTAACACCCTCTTTTCCTGGTCTTTATCCAGGATTAGCTCAGAGGATGTCAATGTGGTGACCATGTCGTTTTTACCCAAACCAGACAATGTCCTGAGCTAATAAAGCCAACCAGAGCAGAGGTGCACAGGTTTAAAAGGCCTGTGAGGTCACTGAGCGCTCACGTCCTCATCCTTCAAGGGCTGTGTCCACTCTGCCCTCCAACCTGAGAGCCTTCCTGGCAAGATGGCAGCAGTCCTGATTTTCCTGACCTTTCTTCTGCCACTTGGAGCTGGTGCAGGTGAGTGAACACTCTGATTCTAGAGGTACCATCCCATAATACCTCTGTGGAGTCTCTGCCCAGCTCTAGTCAGGAACTTTCTGCTCTGAACCAGGAGCTTTCTGAACCTCAGGTCCCAGACCAACCCAGACCTGGAAGCTTGTCACTGGCTAGATCCTCAACAAGGTCTGAAGAAGGGCGGTGTCCTCAGAGGACATGGTGGGCACTAGCTTCTCCCTGCTCTTCGTGTCACCTGGGGAGTGGATCATACTTAGATAGATATGTTAAGAGAATGAAAACCTCCAAAAAGCATGTCATTAACTAATTAAGCCCAGACCAACGGCCCCTTTAATGACCAACCTGCAATGGAGTAAGACCACCAGCTCAAGGATATTATCATTATTTAGCAACCTCCCCATTCAATTACTGAAAAAGAGGCCCAGGGCAACAAATGCCAGCATTGCACCCTCCACTAAATTTACAGTTTTGGTTGGCCTCTCCACTTCTTTCTGCATGTCCCTATATTCCTGTCTTTGGCCCCAGGGCCCTGAATCCCATGCTATCTTAACTACTAGCCCTGCAGCTAACTAGAAGTCATTCATTCATGCAGCCAAAAGCTTTTATTGAGAACCCAAGATATGTTGGGCACCAGACTAGGAGAGTTTTTAAAAATTCACTGGATAGGGGTTGGGTAAAAGGTGAAAACATGATACCAATCAAGACATCAGAGGGTCAGACAGACACATTAAGAGAAAAGACCAGGCAATTCACTCAGGATTTCCTCAGTGTAGACTCATGTATTTGTAAAGCAGGGCCTGGAGGACAAGTGTACCCACCCCTTTTCAGAGCAGGGCCCTGAGGCTTAGGATTCAGCAAAGATTATTCTATGTGTAAGGAATTCAGTCTACAACATCTTGGGGAGCTGCAGATCCCATTGCCTTCACCATCCTGACTTCATCTGCTGCTCCCAGACACCCCATATTCTGCCTTTTCTTTCAGAGAAGATCATCGGGGGCCATGAGGTCAAACCCCACTCCCGCCCCTACATGGCATTTGTTCAATTTGTGAATATTGATGGAAGTAAGAGTCGCTGTGGAGGCTTCCTGGTAAAAGACAACTTTGTGCTGACAGCTGCTCACTGCATGGGAAGGTGAGAAGGAGCTAGGTCATGCTTTTTGAGATCCTGAAAGGAGTTTAAATGCTTTAATTGTGATTCCTTCTGTGAGAGCTCACTGGAGGGCAGGGCTGTGATAATGGAAGTCTGTCATCATGGAAACTTTGAGGTCAAAGGGTGAGAGCCCAGAGGCAGCAGCACAGTTGAGTTGAAAGCAACTACAGTGGTCAGACTACAGCAGTGGCCGAGGCTGAAAGTGCACATTAAGAGTCAATGTAAACTTTGGAAAATCGTGGAGAAGAAAGAGGGAGTCTTCAGGAGTCTAGTGTCCTTGAGAAGACAAAGCAGTAGTTCACACCCTGATGCCCTTCTGGCTCCTCAGTCCCCTCAGCTAGAGCCCCATCCTGCCCACACAGCCTCTTACAGCTCCTGCACTGTGTCCTCTCTCACTCCACATCTTGTATCTGCACTCTGCTCTCTGCAGCTCAATGAGAGTCACTCTAGGAGCCCACAACTTAATGATCAAAGAGAAGAGCCAGCAGATCATCTCTGTGGCTAAAGCCATCCCACACCCAGACTACAATCCTATGGATAACTCCAATGACATCATGCTCTTAAAGGTGAGAAGAGCCCTCATCCTGTCCAGGGATTGCTCCTCCTGCTCTTACCGTGCTCTTTTCATCTCTTCCATCCTGCTGTCTCAGCCCAGCTGTCAATGAGCGGCACTCTCCCTTCTTCCCACAGCTGGAGAGGAAGGCCAAGAGGACTAAAGCTGTGAAGCCCCTCAACCTGCCCAGGCGTAAAATCCAGGTGAAGCCGGGGGATGTGTGCTCTGTGACTGGTTGGGGAAGGATGGACCCCGAGGGTGACTATTCAAACACACTTCAAGAGGTAGAGCTGACAGTCCAGAAGGATCAGGAGTGTGTGTCCCGCTTTCCACGTTCTTACACCAAAGCCATTGAAATCTGTGTGGGGAACCCAAAGATCAAGCGGGCTTCCTTTAAGGTAAGTTGTATTGTCTTTCTCTCGGGGCTCCATGGGAGGGGAAAAGCAGTCTAGGACCTAGAGACCAAGCATTAGGGACTCCTTTTCCCTCTGACTGTGATCTTTTCCCCTGGAAACAGCAGGAACCAGTAACTAACTGGGGCATCAGAGCTGATAAGCAACCACTGTGAAGTTAGCTTGTTGCAAGGTTTTACATGGATTTAGTCCACCATATTGGTGCCAGGTGTTGTAAGGAGAGGGCTGTTTGTTTGTCCCAGCTTCCCAGAACCAAAATAATCATACAGAAACTATATTAATTAAATCACTGCTTGGCCTATTAGCTCTAACTTCTTATTGCTTAACTCTTATATCTTAAATTTTACCCATTTTTATTAATCTGTATGTGGCAGTGGCTTACCGGCAAAGATTTGGCATGTCTGACTCTGGTGGCGGTCCCATGTGTCTCTCTGACTCTGCCTTCTTTCTCCCAGTATTTAGTTCAGTCTTCCCTGCCTACCTAAGTTCTGCCTTATCAACAGGCCAAGACAGTTTTTTTATTCATTTATGGTAATGACAGCACACAGAGGGGACTCCCACATCATCAGCTGGTATAAAGCAGGATTTGCACAGTCCTCCTGTCACCCAGGCCCAGGCCCTCTGTGTGTTGTTACCACAAGCAGGGGTCTCTTCAGACAGGCACCCACTTTTGTCAATGGTCTGGTCCTCCATGCTCACATCAGGCTCAACCACCTGTCCACAATTCTAAACAACAGCTTGGAGCTGAAGGTCCCACACACCTTCATAGAAAATGGATCATAGACTTGGAGTCTGGACTCAGGAGGGAGGTGAAGCAGTAACCCTGTCCAAAATCGGAGTGGGAAGCACAGGGGCCCCAGGTTTGCCCTCTGATCTCCCTCACACAGAGCATACAAGTCATGCTTTATGGTGGGAGGTGTGAAATCAGTTCAGTCCCCTGTGCCCCTCTCTATTTACAGGGCGATTCTGGAGGGCCTCTCCTGTGTAACAAAGCGGTTGCAGGCATCGTCTCCTATGGGTTTAAAAATGGTTCACCTCCGAGAGTCTTCACCAGAGTGTCAAGTTTCCTATCCTGGATAGAGGAAAACATGAAACACAATTAACTACAGAGCAAACCAGACCCCTCCCTGACTCACCATCTTCCCTATAGCCAAGTCCAGGATTGCCCTAGGACAGAAGCCAACATCTCAATAAAGTTCTCTTTGCAGAATCAGAAGCCTGGTTTCATATCACAGGGACCAACTCTGTGCTAGGCAGGCCAATGGCACACTTCTGCTTTCTGCTCACTCCACAACCATGTACACACATTGCCCAAAGCTCAGGCGAGGCCACTGAGAAGCTCCTTCTTACTTGTCCCTCTGTGCAGTGCCTGCCCTTCTGACAGGTCCAAAGCTGAGCTTGGGTGCCTCTTGTCTTGGGGCTCAGGGTGAAGTTTTTCCTCCTCTGTGTCATATGGAAGAAAGGTGAGAGCAAGCACCACTGGTCCTGGAGACAGGGGAGACAGAGCTGAGGCCAGTATAGATGGACCTTCCTGGGCAGAGTATTATTGTCCCACAGCTTAACCATTAAGGCGATAGCAATTTCAGTATCCCCTCTTTCTCATGTATCCTCCTCTGAAACAGGGCCAAGTTCCTCCAGCCTCTTAGCTCCACTCCCTTTTCTTTTATGCCTGCTCTGAGACTCTATCAATTTCTATGCTTTATGGTCCATGCTAATCTTTACATGTCCCTACCTCTTATCTCCATACCTAAGACACCCAAATCCACATGTGGCTCCATTCATTAGGGCCTCAGACCTGTGGTGCCCGCCTAAATCATGACCTAGCAGGGAGAGACTGACAAAGGTCCAGACCAGAAGTGGCACCACAGAGGACCATTGAGACCAGAGCTCTCAGGGCATGTCTCCAAACCCTGCACCCCAGATCCCACATGCTCAGACCTAGGAAAGCTCTTCACAGTCAGCTCAGTCACACTCCAGCCTCCCCATGTGCTCAGCATCCGTAGCAGTGGGGTCTCTCAGCAGCATGAGCTCCTCTGAGCTTGTTCATCTCAATCATTGCCAGCTTCTAGGTTATGGTGCCCTGCTGGTCATTTGGTTGATGTCAGTCTTTGACATCCCCAAGGCAAAAGAACTAAAAGTCTCTACTTTTCCATCAGTCAACACTGAAGTGTATGAGGTTTGCAAATGGCCTAAGGCAATTAGTTTCTATGGGAAACTATTCAGAAAATCAGCATCCACCCAGGAGTGGGCAGTAGGTAGAGAATAACACAGCTAAGACAGCCTCATTGTGTTTATTTTAAAGATGGCAGAAACAGAGTCAGTATTCTGATTTAAATCCCAAGAGATGGGCATGCTCAGAAACATAATTCAGAAACAGAATCAAATGCAAGTCAGGAGGCTGTGAAATAAACAAAAATGAAATGAAAGGTGTGGGGAAGAACCTGTGATATTTCGACATTCTTGGTTACTGCTGCATCCATAGTTCCTCAGACTACCTGGGATTCTCACTGTTATGAAGTTCTGGGCATGAGACTGTAGCCAGAATGTATGTGTGTGTGTGTGTGTGTGTGTGTGTGTGTGTGTGTGTGTGTGTATAAAAGTCTCCCTACATTGGACACACATTGATAAAAAAAAATCATTGCTGCCAGGGATTTTTGCACCTGCATTAATCCAGCACTTGGGAGGCAGAGGCAGGCAGATCTTTGACTTCAAGGCCAGACGAGGCTGTAAAGAGAGACTCTCAAGTCCCCCCCTTCATCCAGGTCTAGGAAGGTGAGCATCCAAACAGACTAGGCTCCCAAAAAGCCAGTACGTACAGTAGAATCAAAATCCAGTGTCATTATCATTGGCTTCCCAGTCCACCCTCATTGTCAGGCACATTCAGAGAGTCCGGTTTGATCACATGCTCGGGGAGTGGGGAAGTAAGGGAAGGGGGAGTTGGGGGAGGGGGAGGGAAAAGGGAGGATGGGAGGAGGTGGAAATGTTAAATAAATTAAAAAAAGAGAGAGACTCTCAAACAAATGAAAATTCTTAAATTAACTTAAATAAACAGAAAACTCTAAGCAGCCTTAGCTCAGGGTCCTGTCCTGTCAGACACTTAACAGATAACAGGACTGGTAGCTAAGCTTAATGGTTATCTGTCCCACACAGACAGAGTGTCACCTTCTGGGAGTGGAAGTAAAATCTTGCTTTGGACCAGGCAACTTTCAAGGACAAGTTTTTATATAGGAAGAGATGTAGGTGGCAGACAGTTTCTGATAGAGACCTGGAAAGCAAACCCTGCCCTGGAGACAGACTAAGGACCCAGCTCCTTTAGAGACAACAAAAACAAAGAAAAGTTCAGAAACAAAGAAATGTGTATTTGAAAACATATGGTCATATATGTATTCAGTTTAGAAGTCATATTTATTTGAGGGAGATGGTTCTAAGGCTTCAAATAACTCTGAAAACCATTATTGTGTATCAATTTGAGAGGATATAAAATAATTCTCTACCAATAGGAAGTAACTGACCTGAAAAACAGTATGAGCCATGTTGGGGTGAGGCTGAACTTAGCCTGGGATTCCCTGAAGAATCGACCTCAGTGTCATCTAATCTCCAGTCAGTAACTTGGTGTCATCCCACAAACAGATGAGCCCATTCTTTGACTCTCCCTGAACAAAACCTCCTGGGCTCCTCACACAGATGCATGGTGAAGGTGTTTAAAGCCCCCTTGCTTTGCTCCCTTGAGCACTTATTAGAGTAGATTCAGGCAGTAAATGCCTAAACCCAGAGTGCTTCAGATTCTTCTGCTTTGTGAAAGTTTCTCTCAGCCCTCACATTTGCATCGAGCTTACTTAGCTCTCCTAACATCTGTACTGATGCTCTGCACCTGCGACAGAAAGTGCTTCAACTCATCAAGAGCCACTTCGCTGTTCCTCCAGGGCACTGCAGTCCAGGAAGCCAGAGAGAAAACTGTAAGACATCCTTTAAGAGCAGACACTAGAACACAAATTCTCCTGGTTCATGCCGGGGAATACATGCTGGTATAACATCCATTGTCTTGTCCAGCACCATGCATCTCCTAGCCCCATTTTCTGTGGACTTAGAGAATGTAGAGTTTCTGTTCTGTATTTATTTGTTTTCCATGCCATGTTTTTGTGGTGTTTTTGGTGAGGATGTTCTCTCCTAGACTAATGTATTTGAACACCTGGTTCTGAGTTGATGATGCTGTTTGGGGATGTTAGGAAATATGGCACTGGTGGAGCAAGTCCATTGATGGGGCAGGCTTTGACTCACACCACTACCAATTCTCTGTCTCTCTCTTTCTCTCTGTCTCTGTCTCTCTCTCTGCTATGCCTTACTCTTTGTGTGTGTGTTTGTAACAATAGTGTATGACTTTTGAGTATGAAGTTCGTAGATGACAACATATTCCAATGCCATGTGAAATGAATAGATGTGTGCTCTTGCTATTATTAAACATGCCTGACTTCAGTGTGATGCTGCCAGTGTTTTATGTTCCAACTGCAGACAGTCAAACTGGCGCCATTATAGTTTCATGTGTTCCTGGTGACTTAATTAATGAAACATAGAGAATATCCATGATATTTTAATTTGCATTACAGATAATGTGTGTTTATTGGTATATGGAAAACCAGCAAGCATTCTTTTTGGATCACCAAGACACACACACCTCAGTTTTGCCTCACACTCCACCCTCCAGCCACCATTTCTACACTCAGCTGTCATTTTAAGCTGCATCTGCAGTTGAGACATGGAGATACCCAAGCCTTGCATTCTATTTTCTTTTCAATATTCATAATAAAAACATAGTTCGTTATCTGTTATTGCTTTTAATTTCAGCATGATTTCTTTACCATGATGAAACAATATAATACAATAAAAAAGAGAGATGATTTCTCAGTTAAAAGGGGGCAGACACTTATTTTTTTGTCAGGTAAATACAAGGCTATGTTCAACCTTTGGGGATTTGTGAGTGTTCACAAAGGTGATAACAGAAAACGTATTACATGCAAATCATACTACCTAACATGGCAGCTGTCAAGGATGGTGACACAAGGAGAAAGCAGTGGAATTGAAAAGGACATCTTCTCATTAACAAAAGCACTTATGTTTCAATTCAGGGGGCTGAGGATGTGGCTCAATGGCTAAGAGTATTAGCTGAACAAGCAGGAGAATCTGAGTTCAGATCCCAGCACCCACATAACAGATGCTGAGTGGAGCTGATCGCCTGTATCCTCAGTGCAGACAAGGAAGCCTGCTGATGCTTGCTGCTAGCAGCCTCAACAAAACAGTCTGTTCCCGGTTCAGGGAGGGACCCCATCTCAAAGGAGTGAGACAGAAAACAGTAGAGGAACCTGACATCTTCCTCTGCACTTATTCAGGCACAGGGACACACACACTGACATACATGTGTACACACAAGCACCACACATTAAAAAGATAGTCACACCTGTTCTAGTTATGTTCTGTTACTGTGATAAAACACTGTACCAAAGAAAGCACTTGGCCAAGAAAGGGTTGATTTGGCTCCCATGTCCCACCTGCACTCCATCACTGATGGAACTCAGGGCAGGAGCTGAAGCAGGAGCAGAGGCAGGAACCTCAGAGGAAAACTGCCTACTGGATCAGCTTGCTTTCTCTTCTAACCCAGGACCACATGCCCATGAATGGCACTAATCACAGTAGGCCAGGCCCAACTCAATCCATTAGCAAACAAGAAAGTACCCCCGCAAACATACCCATAGTCAATCTAATGGGCACAATCTTGAACTGAGGTCTTCTCTTCCCCACTGTTTCTAGTTTGTGTCGAGTTGACAGAAAGTTCCCAGCACAGCCCGTTAGACAGGCTCTGTGGTAAACAGCTAGACATGTGGTTATGTGGTTGTTTTTAAAAGAACAAAACAAAACAAGTAAAAATGCCCAAAATACATCGAATACACATATAAAATTGTCAAAAAAGTAAGAAAAAGTAAGTTCTAAAAGGACATTTAATGCAAAATCATTAAAAAATGGGTAACATCATATAGATCATCATCAATACTGAATTTCATAAGGGACAAGGGATTAAATCATCTCCAGTGCTGGAATTTCCTGAAAAGTG